GATACGCAGGTGCGAGCAATACTCTTGTATGGGTATCAAGCGTGGGGGCCGTTTGTGCTAGCTGAAGCCTTGGACAGGCGCAGGAGGCGGAGTGATGCGAGTAACCTTGCGGAGGGACCCTTCGAGGCATGTCTGAAGGACAGAGCGGTGCAGCTTCAAGTATTTTTCATGCGACAAATCGCATCGCCTCCTGTTCGCTGAATTGGCGCGGCTACCCCTACACTACCACGTCTTCAAATAGATTGAGGTTTTGGAACCTCGCAAGCTTATGCAATTTAGGCTTTGCTGTTGGGCATTGGCGGCGAACAGAGCAAGCAAGGAACGGCGTTATGTACCTACGGAGGAGCGGGCACTGATAGCCATATTGAAGATGGGAAGCACGTTTTGCTGGACTGTCCGGCGTACGACAAAATCAGATCTGTTAGGAATTTTCCACGCTTCGCACATATGAAGGACGCTATGAAGTGGGAACCTGAACGTCTGGCAAGGATGCTGGAATGTATGTGGTCCCACCGCAACTCTATCGTTCCCTTTGGTCCTTAGTTTCCTTTATCACATGTTTTGTCTGAAGTGCGAGGTAGGATGGTGCTTATAGGCGACCTGGCAGCCCTTTAGCCCTCGGCTTGTATTAGGCGGTTTGCAGGCACGGGGAACGCACCCCACAAGCATGTATCAATCACACACACACAGAAGATGTGTGTTGCTTGTGGTAGGCGAGCAGCTGCCGTACATGGGTGAGCATTTTATGTTCAGTTCTGTAGCGGCGTCTCGGCTCTTGTGGTGTTGTCCTCCATGTCTCGTTTGCTTTGCTGGCTGTGTGGTGGTCTTGCTTGGCTATGGTGGTCAGCCCTCCTGAGGGCCCGTGTCTGGCCTGGGTGGGCGAAGTGGTGAGAGGTGAGAGGTAGCTTAGTTAGGGACCCCTGAGGTGTGTGGCGCCTCTAGTGCAAATCTCGTTAGTACGGTTTGCAATCGTCTGTGCCGCTGCGTTGCCTAGCCAGGGCCTGGGAGAGCGTCCCGGCTGGCGTGAGTAAGGAAGTGAGGGATGTGCACGGAAAGACAGACGGGCCTGGTGCGCACGTCCACCTCTGTGCTATGTTTCAGTCCAGTCAGGGCCTCCGGTGCTCGTCCTCCCCCTCAGCACACAACACTACAAAACTGTACAGCATAGCATAGCTCAACACCGCGCAGCACAGCACAGAGGGCACATCACAGCCTGTATACC